GATGTAAAGTTTAAATTGAATTGTGTTGCCTCTTTTGTTCAAGATCAGTGTAGGCTTAATGTTTTGGAATTATTTTTAAACGGTGACAAGCTTTGTGTGAATATTTTATGAGCTACAGGATCGTGCTTTGTTTAAAGTGTATGTGGTAAGTTACTAATTTGCAACTAAATTATATTCATAGAAATTCCTGCAGTTTTTTTTATTCTAATTTGAATAACAAAGCGTTCAGTAACCATTTCATTGCAGATTTTAATCTAATATTTTTTCGTAATTATGAAAAATCTTTTATAAATGCAGATATATAAAATAATATGTATCATATACAGGATCATCAAATATAATAATAGACTCAACACTTTTTTAAAATTTTGGCTTAAAGTATATCGAATCCAAGTATTAAACCCCATTGCTTAAATTTAATATATATTTAAGAGTATATCAAATAAAAAGTATCTATATTATTTTATATACTATTATTTGGTATACTTTTATTACAACTCTTGAATTTTAAGTTTGTTTTGAGGATGCTGTTTATTGTAACAGTCGAAAAATCTTTCATCTTTAAATATATATAGATATTTATTGATATATTAGGGGGCGTCCATTAATCACGTGATCGATTTTTTAAGGATTTTTCGATTTTTCCTCCCCATTCATGATTCGTAGTGATATTCAAAATCACTCCCCCCTCCCCCACCAATCATCACGTGTATTTTTAGTTACGAGAAAAAATGGTTATTATTATTTTTTTGAAAATGTTTGGATTTAAAAAAATCAGGTAAAATAATTACACGAGATGCCTTATTATACCTCTCCCTCCTCCACGTGATATTTTGTGATTTTTTGTCAAACCTTCACCCTCTCCCTATAAACCCTACGTGATTAATGGACGCCCCCTTATGGTTTAAGTCTAGTCAATAATATTAATTGCTAAATTAAATATTTCAAAAAAGTTTAATGTTATATCCCTTACATATAAAATTAATTTGCATTTATTAACTTCAATTTATTTATTATTATGCAATAACAGTATTAATATTTATTGGAAAAGCACTTAATTACAACTGGCGTATGATATTTTTATTACATGTTCAGAGGGCAATATAATATTTATTTAAATTAGTATCTCTGATGATATCATTTTTATGCTTCAGTTTTTTTCACGTCAGATTCTTTTCTTTTAAGATATTCATTCAAGAATTACATTACATCTACTTCAAATATATTTTTTCCATTTTTTTATTAATTTTTACATTTTTACATTTTTGAAATATCTTTAATAATTAGACTTGAATGCGTTTTTAAAGACTCCAATAATTATTATATAATTTGCCTTGATTGATAATTTTTTTTAGTTTTATACTCAAAAGTCCAAAATTATAGAAATGCTAAGAGTGAGCTTTTAACTTAATATTTGGTAGAGCTTTTAACAAAAACATTTGATACAATTACTTGAATATCCTTTATATGTAATTCAATTAATTAAAATGCAACCATATTCTATTTTTACTATCTTTACTATTATCTTCAGACTTTATGCAGTTTGCTCATGCATATTCTGAATATATTATTCATAAGAATGCTTATGAAAACCAAATTAATTTGCATACATTTCTTGTCATACGTAAATGACAGAAAAGCACCGAGTAAAATGTAGCTATGACTATAACAATAATAATTATTAGAATTATTTTTATATTTTGTACTTTACCTTTACGTACTTCTATCCGATTTTTTTTTTTTAATTTAAGCTTTTTTAAGCACTTATCAATAAAAAGTAAAGTGCATAAAACTGGCGACTAAATATTTATTTTTTGTTTTTATTTATTAATTTTATTTATATTGATGTAAATACGTAGTGAGATATTACTTTAAATTTTATATTCAGATAAACATGTAAAACAAATCTTTTTATTTTAAATTTTAATTTAATTTTAATATTCAAAATTTTAATGAAATCTTTTATCAACAATTTTATATTGAATATTATTTTGATTAAGTTAAATAAGTTATATTTTTTACTCCTCATCAGAATTTAATTCATTATTCATTTCCATGTTTATGTTTGTTTCGACTAGTTTTAGTATCATTATTATACCTATATAATAATATTTTTATTAAAAATTAACTTTTTAATAGCCGTCTAAGTACCATTTACTATCTAGGTAGTATTTATATAGCTACTGATTATAAATTATGCCACAAGAAGATAGTGTTAATGGTAAAGAGATGTAATAGTAAAAACGATCATAATTGAATGCTCGTGCAACAGGTTTGTTCATAGTTTTTCCTGTTTTAAAAGATTTATTACAAACTGATATCCAATTTTTAGATAAATACGACATTTGTTAAAGAGGTGCAAGCTAACGCTTTTACTTGAATGATTTTTTTTTCTGGGCGATATGAATGAAATTTAAAATAATTTAATAAAAAATATAATAAGTAGAATAACGACAAAGGGAACTATCCAATACTATTATATTTCTTTTTATTATTCTTTAATTTTTTAATCAACACATTTTCATTATATTGTTTATGCTGAATTTATATGTTGGATACTAGTAATTAGTTATAATAAATACAACTAATCTAAACTATATCTATATATGGCGTCGTAAAGATAAAAAACTGTTGTAAATTCTAACTTGAAAGCAAATTTATATAAATCTAATTAAAATTAGTTATTATATAATAATTAAATGTTGAAGAGCTATAAATAAAACTAATAAATTTTGGTCTCAACTATTCAAGCCAATTCATTTGTTTGTAATATAATATATTAGAAAAACATACATTATTTGATATCTCATATTATTGAGCAATAGAAAATAGTTTTATTGACATTATTATTACTTGTGCAATTTAAAATACTCATCAGTACCGTTTTTTAATTAAATTAAATAATCTGTAAATTAATAAGTGAAAATTAATGCAACTTTGCTGTTGATGTTTTTTATTTAAGTAATCCATGCATTTCGCATCATTTTTGTACATTAATTATTAATATTTAATATTTATTATATATAGTTGATTTACTGAAGCAATTTTTAGAATTTGCGGATTATTTACTAACTATCAATTATTTTTCAAAGTTATAATAATTAAGACAAGTTTCAGCATCTATTTTGATTCATAAAATTATAGACTATTGGATTTAATCCTCAATTTATTATGAATCAAACCTTCAAATGTTTGATTTATCGATAAATTTAATTAAAGCTTATTTTTATATAAGTGGGTGGCAAAAATGTTTATCTTAAATGCCTTCTTTAGCGAATCTTATGTGCTTAACACTTATTACCATATAATCTGCCAAATAACATGAGATTAATCTGTCACTTCGATTTAAAAATGTAAATTAAATAAAGGAATTATGGACAGCTCATTACCAAGAATTATTGCCAATATTGATTTATTGGAACAAACTCTTTTGTTTTTTTCACTTGTTTATTAGTTCTGTTCTAATATACCCATGTAACTTATAAAATCAATCTCATAACAATTTTTTTAACGAGTAGGTTTCTAAGCCCTATTTCAGATTATTATTTTCGGGGATATAAAAATGCCTACTTTTATTTGTGAACGAGAGATAAAAACTCGTTATCAGG